CTTCCCAGCAACGATTTTGTTAGAGGTATTGTTGTAATTTCGTTTTCTTAATTTCTGATTTATCAAAAAAAGATTCATTTTTTCTGTACTACACATTTTTCCTTTCTGCTTAAATCAAAGCTGCATATTATTTCAATTTCTGGTACTCTTTACAATTCCAAAACACAGAGAATCACTTCAAAAGACCAAAGTTACAGCTTCAAGAACTTTACATTCGTCAAGAACAAGCAAGTAGAAATGAAAATTAAAATTCAAAACATCCTCAGACTAACAACCCAGCAAATTCCCGGGTAGAAACCAACCGCTTGTAGATCTCCATAACCATCCTCCCGTCCACAACCTCGTTAGTACTAGCTGATATCATCGGCAGCGGCTTCTTCTTCTCCACCTTCTTTCCCACAACAAGGCGGATCATGGCGTCGACAAGCTTGAACCTAAGTTTTGGGACCAACCTTATCTTCCAGGACCGCCTGGTTCTGTTTCCAAGCCTCGCTATCTTCACCCTCTTCCTTCCATCGTCCAGCCTCTGGTACTTCCTCCTCCTCCAATACCTCTTGATATTATCAAAATAAGAAGCTGGGACAATATCCATCTTAATCTAGTCAGTGAAACAGTCTCTCTGCAGATCAGGGTAAGACTGGAAAGCCTTTAGAGAGAGAGAGAGAGAGAGAGAGAGAGAAGCTAGGTGACCGTGTATAGGATGGAAAGGTGAAGTGGCTAGTGGAGGAAATTGAGCTAGGTGTGTTTTTGTATGATTGAAAGACAGAGGAAGATATTTGTATGTATATATATAGAAGATGTTAGGGGAGAGTCTAAATGCTGGCCTGGCCTTTCACCAAAGCCTCATAATATATATCTATTTAAGCGGTCGTGGGCCCCCCTTAATAAATTTTATTATTATAATATAATTATTATATAAAATAAATTTTCACATCTAAAAATTAAGTTCCTTTCTTGCCTTTCATAATTAAATTTTTAGATCCGTCATTGATTTTAAATAGGGCCAAAACCTCATAGGCTTTATGAAAAAGATAGCCAAGTTGATATAATCACTGAAATTAAAACGAATTGACCAGCTCATTTGGTCAGCCTATGAAATTAATAGCAGCCAAATTGAGCGTTCAAGAATTAAAATATGGGTCAATATTGTCAGGCTGACCAGGCCAAGGGAATTTAATTATATTCATATATATATATATATATATTGAAGAGAGAATGTGAAGATTTGGGAAGAATAATCAAGATATGAGCACTGAAGCTCTCAAAGTGTGGCTAAATTAAGTGTCATTTTTGTTGACCTACTAGCTATCAAAGATTCAAGATGACTGAAATGCCCCCTCCAAATGAAAACAGTGAACTTATTTTAGGAGATTACTTAATCTAGTATATGATAATTTATAATACCAATGTTATTTTTTATAGTATCACTCAATGCTACAACTCATTTTATGTTAAAAGAGAATGAGTAGAACTATAAAATACTCTTAAGATATTGTTGCTGTCTTTGACCAAGTTGTGTTTTCAGGAGAATTAAATTGTCAATAATTCCTAAAAATTTCTTATTTTTTTCTGGGGTAGGAGCAATTTTCATTTGTTTAGGTACTTGAATATTAATATTGTTATACCTTTGGCTCTTTTTATAAATTAATAATTCGGTGAAGGCGGCTCGAATTAGAATTGAATCACTTGCTTGCCACCTAGAAAAGTACTACTTTTGTTTTAAACCAAGTGGTTTTGTGACATGATGTTTTAATTTTTTTGGGTAAAATTATGAGTTTTTTTTATGTTAATTTTGATTTGAGATTAATTCTTTTTGAATTAAGAGTGTAAAAAATTAAAACTCTTTTTAATAAATATGTTTTGGGAAGATCAAATTTTTATTCTCACTGTTATCAGAGTAGAAGTTGCTTAACATTTCGACTAATATCTGTTGATTGCAATATCTTAATTTTGATTTTTTTACAGGTTCTATTTTAAGAAATTTAATATTTATAAAATATAAATGATAAATAATTTCTCAAAAAAAGTAAATTTAATTGCATTAAAGTTATCAACCTTGTTTATTTTCTCTGAAGTTCAAGATAAATAGAGGCACAGAAATTGGTAACGAAGTTTAAGCACCTGTGCCCGACCAAGGTTGTTAGGGATTTTGTGGCATGAGCTGGTGGAGGGGGATGATGACAAAAGCACCATTTATTTCTTTATTTTTATTTTTATTTTTGCTAAAAGTCCTATTTCTGGGAAATAAAATTCCATTAGCAATTTGTAGCTTCAATTTGTTGACATTTTATTTATAGTAATCGGTCCGTACATGGTTTCTTCTTCTGAATTATCTTCAGCGTGGAAAATGAAGTCAAGTTAATTTCTAGAAGCAGGATCTTTTTGATAAAGTAGAAGCCGCAACTTCGTACGGCCCTTGAAATTTGAATCAGTTTGATTTCAGACTTCTACTAGTCTTTTTTTTCATCGTTTTTTTCTAAGAACTTTTCTCTCTTTAACTTTTGAAAATAAAATATATCAGAATGGACTTTTTATTTCTATAAATAAAAACTTATTTTTGAAAACAAATCCAAACTTGGCCAATTAACTTCTTCTTTTTCTTAAATTATAAAAAACTAACGGTTAAAAGCTCTTAAAGTTCATCCAACAAGTACAAAAAGCTCTGAAAGTTCATCCAAAGCTCAAGCCTTTCATGAAATCAAAAGCTATGAAAATCAGAAGCCTCTTAACGGTCCATGGCTTCAACTTCCTTCAAAGCAACCATATGAAGGTAGCAGGCAAGCAGCTTTTTACTTCTCTGTATGCCCACGAAGGGGAGAACCAACTCCAAGAATAATAGTCTAAGAACGCCAGTCTTGACCAAAAAGGCCCACGTAAAAGTACAAGCTGTGACCTTGCCAGGCTATAAAATTGCTGATGATTACGGACTTGACCATACTCTGATTTAATAAAACAACTCTCTCTCTCTCTCTCTGTGAAACACGACAACATATTCATTTCACACTCCATCAATGTAACAACCGACCAAAGCTTCCTCCCAAGAAAAAAGGAAGCCCCTACCAATACCTCACTGAGATGAACGACCTCATTCTTGTCATTAGTGATTTCAAACAATAAATACGAATCTCTCTCTCTCTCTCTCTCTGTGGGTGTACGTGAGTGTGTGTGTTTTTCAAAACACAAACAATATATACATTGCATACCCCATCAATATAACAACAATTGACCAAAGCCTCATCCCCAGAAACAAGGAAGCCAATCCCAACACCCCCTTGGATGAATGACCTCATTCTTGTCATTAGTGATTTCAAACATTGAATATAAATCCCAATACGTACAAATCACTGAAAACATCAAGTACCAGGAAATCCAGATGCTTAAACAAATTAAAGCAATTTTATATAATCATCCTTGTTAACAAAGCCATTCTAGCGTTCAATTCACCAGAGACTAGAGAATAAGAAACTTAACGGCACCATCACATAAGATATTAAAAAGATGAAAGCCCCTACCAAAAACAAATTTAATGTCAACTGTACAACTAACTGTCCCATTTGGCATTGTATTTACTATAATGGGTAAGCTGGCATAAACGCTCGATAACATTATGTATTTGTTTTCCCATTTCTCCACTTTGGGCCACAAACGAGAACCGAAAGTGATCAGTATCTTCTCCCGCTTTCCATATCATGTAGGACCGTGCTCGTGGCACTCATATTAACTTCTGAATTTGCTAAGTCCTGATGATTGGGCATATTGGATGAGGACTGATTGCCATTTCTTGACTCTGCCAATACTTGAAAGTACGCATGTGGACCCCAACCTGAATAAGACGAGAGCAAACATGCCTATAATAAAGGATGTAATCTCATGACCACAAGCAAACATGCCTAGAGAAAACCAAATTGTGGAAATCTAAGGTAGTTAAAAATATGCACAAAACAGTTCTTCCACAAAACCCAAGCTTTGTGATTGAGCAGGAACAGCATGGAATCCCTAAGTGAGCATGGGTACTATAACTCCGTGAAGACAAAATGTCAATTCTGATGAAGGTGAAACAAGAAAACAGAATAAAAATTATGTATGTGACAGAATGAAATAGAGGAAATAGTTTGAACCAAAGAAAACTGGCGCTTAAGGAAAACAAAACACCGGTCAGGAAAATATTCAATAGCAGCACCAGCAAACATTAGATGTTATCATTTACCAGATAAATGTATGCAGCCGTGACATCAGAGTTTAAAGTGAGCACCTCCCCAAGGCAGTCCACAACCCATCTCAGCCCTTCCCTCCCGGGGAATAAAAAATAAAAGAAAAGACAGAATCCTTTCTTTAATTCACATAGAAACAAACAATTTAATTAATTAAAAATATTTTAGTAACAAGGGAAATCAGAATAAGGTGAAACTCGAAAGCTTCAACAAATGCAGAACTCTGCATATCCAAAATGATCCAACCCTACATGGAATTATATAATCCACCAACAAACATCAAATACTGAAGATGAAATGTACAGATAGAGAGATCACAAGCTCAACCTCCCCAACAAGTGAAAACAGTACATTCAAATAGAAAATAAAAAACAAACAAAATAGAAAATTTGAGAATTAGAAAGACAGGAATAACTGTTATTGTTTTCTCTGGTGCTCTTCATTGCATCATCAACTCCTTTATAAATCAGAAAGGGTAATAACATTCCACCAGAATTACTGAAGGTGAAAAAAATATCAGAAGAGTAATATGAAGTAAAGTGAGTAAAACCAACATAGAAGGGAAGAAATTGAAAACTAAAAATATGTATTGGATTACACTCACAATTTCAACCTGACAACTCACAAACTGGATAGTTTATTAATAAACCCTTCATATAAATAATTCAAAATGGTAAAATCTCAACTAGTATAGCCTCCTCATAATATATAAGGCAGCAGTAGAGATTCACAGAAGTGAAAGAAACTGTACCGCTAACCATAATTCAATAGCAAAATTGAAGACCAGATTCAAAAACATATTAGCATGTTAATTATCCAAAGTTGTATAAAGGCTCTATGGAAGATGAGATTGCAGTATTCAAAATGACTATCTACAATAAAAAATAAGATAATACCATCCATGTCATATGGGGGTGGAAAGAATTGCAAGTAGCAAAATGAAGAAACAGTCAACCCTGCAAACAGAGAGACACGATGAGACAGTGAAATTATAATGCCAAGCAACAATCTTAAACAGCATGATTACAAGTAGGCAAGGAAAGATTCTATCAACAAATCACAGACCTATAAGACCTCCAGCAAATACATCTTGCCAATGATGCCAATAGTCATCCACTCTTGAAACTCCCACCAGAGCCGCAACGAGTAAGGGCAGAAAAACAATGCAAAGTTTTGCCACATGGCCCCTGTGGTCAAATGCCTGAATCTTCCCAGACAAATACCATGAAAGAAAACCCAAACCAGCAAAAGACCCTACACATAGAGCACAAACTCTATTGAGCATGTGTTTTTCCTACAAGGATCATAAAGAAAAATAGACAGAAAAACAACTGCAACCAGTGCACAACCAGCAAATCCATTACTCAACATGCAAATGCATGGAACTGAAGACTTAGCCCAAGTAGCAGAACACTCATGAGGTTCACTTAGAAGTGGGGGTTTAACCAACATCAAGCTCCCAAATTGATTTTATAACCAACTACATGAAACATTTATTCATTCTGAGTTTAAATCCACATAATTACAAAACATGACACCAATCAATCTCTCAATATCTCATGTTCATTTGTTCACATCTTTTAAAATACAGTATAATCGGCATTATAGCCGTCCAATAAAGCTTCATATATTCTGTCCCAGTCCAGGTTATCCTACAAGTTCATATTCTACTATAACTCACTTTTTCTAGGAGGCCACTAATATTCTATTCTCATTATTGTCAGAAATTTATGTAGAAAAGTGAAATAAAATGTATAGAAAGGTTAAGGATATGATACTGATATAAGAAGCATGCTTCTCTTCTTCAGGATGAGAGCTATAATTAGTGGAACCATATATGCTGAGATAAATGGTAGCCAAAGATGATAAGAAATTTAACATATATACAACATATGCAGACATACAAATTCGCCAGAGAAAATATTCCCACAAAATCAGTACTGCAAAACCAGTTATATGATACAGATATGCATTCAACTTGTAATAATGCTGCTTACAAGATGTATGTCCACTAGGAAAACTTTTGTATCCTTCCTTGATGACACTTTTCTGTCCAGTACACATAACACCCCCAATGACCTGATCAAACACCTAGACATACCACAAAGCAATGCTATCAACCAATCTAAAGGGTAAGATCAGAGTAATTAAAACAGAAATGACAAATATGAAGAATAAAAACAAAAGCATCTGATGTGGTCTCACTCCCTTGCCATCAGGAAAGCAGCGCCAGAAAAAGTCAGGACGGGGTCGTCCAACAGCATCTTTGATTGCATCAGTTATAACTCCAGTTATAAACACAGAAAAAAGGAGCCCTGAGCAGACATAAAAAATAGACATAAGACCAGTCCTAAAAAAATTAAAATAAAACAACAAAATCTTTAAATGGATGAGTACTACCCAATATAGCATGATGAAAATCATAAACATTCCTCCTAATGAAGTAGTAGACCAGGATGACTGCGAGTGGAAAAGTATTGCAATCACCTTCAGAAACAATTGAAGAAAACAACACATTATTTCAATTGCAGTATATAAAAGTTCCTATTCATAAGTTTGTAATGCAAATACCGGAACAGCCCAAAAGGGGATGGTATTGTCCTTAAGGGGGTACTTCAAATCACTCAACATTTCTTCTCCCACAAAACGATGAAATGGTTCTATAAGATTCAGAATAACGTCTACAACCACGAGAAGGAAAAGAATTAACCAATCATGCATGTGTATCCTGGCCACTTGAGCTCCATGTGATCTTATGGTATGAGCAGGTAATTGAATATCTGGCATTTTACCAACTAAAAGCAAAAAAGAAGTTAGTTGGCAGAAATAGAGTTGAAAACTCTGAAGGACAAAAATCAGTAGCAAGGAGTAGGTCAGAGAGGTAGAGGAAGACAGGAAGAGATTGGACTTCCACTCATATATGCTCAATATAAGTATACCAAGTATACATAAATAATAACATTACCAAAAACTAGCAAATAGCAACGACTAATGGAAATAAATAATAATGAATGTGCTACTTCCATCAACTAGTAAGCACGGCAGCATAAACACACTGACAGCAATATAACAGAGTTCAGGCTACCAGCCAAATTTTGATCACCTTTCTTTGTGGCACCAAGTGAGGAACAAAGCGGAACCAACATGAATTTTTATATTCCAAGAATAATATGCAGGTTTCAGTTCAAGACACAGCTAGGTTTCTGTTCCAAGTTGGCTTTTTGTGATAAAAAGACTACCAAAGACTAAACTCAGATACAATATTATTTTTGGATTATAGAATTTTTTTTTTTTAATCATACACACCTGAAAGCATCTGATAGCACACTACTCTCTCTACCAACATTTTTGCAACAAATATCAGAAAAAGAAAAGTCGAATATAAAAATATCAAGGTCAGGCATTAGGAATCTTACTAGTTAGTAAAAATGACCAACTGTATTATCCTTTCTGACAAAATCATACACAAACGGCTTTTGACTCTATTAAGTAATAAGAAATATAGCTAGCCCTCCCTCTAAGAGTGTGTTTGGATTTATTACTTAACACACTCCTCATGTCTGGCCAGATCTTTAAATCATAGGCCGACATATTGAAATTTTAAACTAGTAAGCTTTAAGATTTGAATGGCAGATCTTTCCTTTCTGTAATATCATGCTAAACTATTGACCACCATCTCATTTTGTCAAGGGCAAAGTATTCTAATTAGTTATTACTTAACAAGAAAGAAACACCTATTTGCCACATGGAAAAAGTTAAAAGAGATAACATATAAAAGATAATTGATAAATAGAAAACCTTGTGCCATATTTGTCTTCTTTTCTTGTTTTATTTTTTCTCTAGGTGTGGGGAGAGAATATAACAATAGAAAAAGTGAACGTCCAAATCATTGGTTGCATCCATGTAGTGAGGGAGGAGTAAAGGGGAGATTTTATTCTTTTTTTTATAGAAATGAAGGATGAGCACCAGAGGAAAGGAAGGATGTTATTAGATAGTTGAATGAAAATTAATGAAATATTACACCAGTATTGATAGCAATAAACCAAGTCCAGCCTGACCAAAGAAACATGGACTTTAAGTCCTTACATGAACATTTAGTTGATTTTAAGCAATTTGTGTCTAAATGCAACAATATTTGGATAATGACCATATCTATAAATCCTTAAGAATCAGAAAGCAATAGTTCATGGCAATAAAAGTCACAAAGGACTAAAGAAGCCCCATTATGGTAACTGATATAGCTGATCTAGATGCCAGAAAAATATGGCATACACAAGTGATTATTGATTTGTATCCTATATTACCTATTTGGACTCTTCTAAATGAGGCTCCATGATGGATATTTTAATAAGGGTGTGGGACAAAGTCTGACATAACAGACATTTGTGTAACTCTTGCATTCAATATTTCAATTTCGCCATGTAATTGTGCACAAAATAACAAGAAGTTAACAAAATGAGTGTAACAAAAATGATAATGTTAAGATGGATGTATGGTAAAACTAGGAAGTATAGAATGAGAAACTTATTGTATTTGACATATGGTTGAGGTAGCACCTTTTAAGGATAAGAAAAAGGGAAATAGTCCTGGATGATTAGGTTATGTGCAACATATACAGTTAGAAAAAGTATTAAGAGAGGTGCAGGTAGGCCAAAACTAACTAAAGTTGAAATAGTGAAGAAGCATTTAAATTGTTTTGGTTTAAATGAAAATTAGTTTAGGATCGACTAGATTCGAGACATAGGATCCATGTAGCCGATCCCATGGAGTTGGAATAAGCATTGGTTAATTAATTGATGTTATATAATTGTGCCTCAAATTCTTTTGTTATGCATGAATGCTTTATAGCATCTGATTGACACTATTATGCCTTAGATGATAGAAGAATTACTGTAAGATAAGAAGTATGAACATTTTGCCATGCCCCATAATGCCCTACATTTTTTCCTTTTTTTTTTTTTAAAGCATAATGGTTATGTTTTAATCTAGGTTCAGGTTCACTTATGTTTTAATCTGTCAGAAACTTAGCCTTCAACTTTAGCAAGCTTGCTATTTGAAGACTTAAAATTGCTATAGACTCAATTATCCATATAGGATTATTCGTTTAAATAGACTGATTTGGATAACATATAGCAACAAAAATGGAAATGATGATTATGCTGATCTAGTTTCATGCTCCAGAAAAGCCATTAACACATGACCACAGCATGCATAACCATAAGTGCCGTAATTGCAATCTGAAAGTCAAAAAAGCACCTTAATTGCAGGCATAAAGATAAAAAATGAGGTTTGATCACTTAAATATTTAGCCAAACATTTCATAGAAGATGCCAATTTCATAGAAGATGCCAAGATCAGTGATCATAAACATGTATACAATTTAAACATAAGTCCTGGCCTAGTAAACTTTTTGAAGACTACAAAGCAGAGTATAAGTTCCATAATTCCCGTTTGTTCTTGAGAAAATGCAAGTGCAATCAGAACTCAGTGACTCAAGTTTCCTAAGTTCATCACTGGGCATCAATTTCAATTAATCAAGCAAACAAGCAACCGCCTGGTATCGGAGAAAATTCTTCCGTGATCAAAAGATACAACACAGTTTCACGTAGTGGGCTTCAAGTTTCCCGTGTAGGTTTAGTTTTCCGTTAGCATTTTACCTCCCCCAGTTTTCCCATAGGCCAGAGACGCGCAATTTGAAAAAAGATAAAAACAATAAACAAAGCATCCATGAAAAATGACAAAAAGTGAAAAGCATTCTATAAACAATTCTGAAGAACTGCGAATGAACGGAAATAATTTAAGCAAGGGACACCCACGGAATGACAAAGAAGACGGGAGAGAAAAGATTGAAGTGGAATGGGTTTGATCCAAAAAAACTCACCTGCAGGAATATGCAAGAATGTGACAAAGTGTTCAGAAAGCTCCGGGTACGACGACAGAGAGTTTAGAAACTTCTAAGGTACGATTATTGAGAGAGAGAGAGAGAGAGAGAGCGCTCCGTTTCCTTGTTCAGAGAATAACAGAAAAAAAAAAAAAAAAGAAACGCTGGTTTTCGGGAGAATTCCACTTGACACGAAACGACATGAGACGGATCGCGTCTCACTTCCAATCTCGAGATATTGGATTGGGATGGGCATCCACCAGCAAAAGAATGAGGCCCGACAGTGGCGGAAAGATAAACGATTTTTTCTTTAAAAAAGAGGATTATTAAGAGTAAAAAACACTTTTTATTACAAATTTACAGTTAAGAGAGCAAGCTTAAAAGCCCAAAAACGAAATATTTTTTTTTTATTAAGGCTTTTGGGCTTTTCTTTTCATCATTTTAGGGAAGTTGTTTTGGAGAGGGGCTTGTGAAGGTCCTGGATGACACAAATATGACAACAGGTTTGGTAGGGTCTGGTTTCAATTTTTTTGGGTGTGAATGTCTTTAAACAGAAACTTTTAACCCACCCACAGCTTTCTTTCTAATCAAAGAATAACATATTTACTGGGTACATGAATACTTGGCTGGATGGGAAGAAACTGGTTTTAAGACAAAGTTTTCCACGAAGATTGTGATTGAAAATGATACAAAAGAGATCATTGACATCCTGAAGGAAGCCCCCCCCCCCCCCCCCCCTTCGCTTTTTTTTTTTTTTTGAGAGGGGTTGATTTAAGTTTTTAGGATTATTTTCTTAATTGTCTAAACTCATAAGTTGAAAAATGTTTTTAGATTACTAGTATAATTCTAAATATTAGTAAATGCTCTTTGTATACATATTATTAAAGGAAACGCATTTAAACTTCTTGTAGACTATTTTGACATTCATGCTAGGTTGTTGACATGCGAATTTGAATTCGTTCAATCATTATTTTAGTTAAAAGATCTAATGGTATAAATCAATTTTCTCATTATTAAATTTATGTATATTGTATTTTGGAACATAGAATTAAGACTCTCATGTGACTCTCGATCAAATATTTCAAAAGTAAAAATTTAAATTTTTACTCTCTTAAAATTATCTATTTTGATGCAAATTCAACAAAAGTTGGGACAAGAGCTACACAAAAGGGCATGAACTATGAAGTAAGATATACTTTGAAGACGATACTGTATCTGATGGGTATATATCAAACATGAAATGTTCAAATGGAGGAATGGTGATGAATTCTTGCTGATGGTGGGACGTGGGCTGCATTTGAGTCGGTATAGGATGCCTTGGTTCAGTGGGCTATGAGTCTATATGTTTAAACCCATGTGCATTATACGAGTACCCTAGACAACTTCACAAAGTTTTCCGCTTATTTTTGAAAATGATTTCCAATGGTTTCTCTTTTTCTTCTTTTTCCTTTTTCTCTCTGTTACAATAAAGATCGAAGTCCAAATAAATTATACTAAATTACTTTAATAGTTGAGACTCCTATAATATTTTAATGCAAATGACCTCTCAGCTGATTCGAAAGGGAAGCCCAATGTCTCGCTACAAGCTCGCATGGAAATAATGATGTCCTAAAAAATGAGTCACGAGATCCTCCGGACATGATCCGTTTGTCCCGGACTTCCAAATTGAGGATGTTTTGGTTTGTTATATTTTTAAAAATGGTTGCTCATTAAACAATGTGCCAGGGAAAGCTCTCAAGTTTGAAACCAGGATTTTTCAATTTGTAACCCCTCAAGGGAAAATAAAGTTCGTTTAGTTGAAAAGAAGACACATGGGAAGCAGTTTCCCGAGTGGGAAAACCTACCACCCCTAAGCAAGCCTGCCCCGGGTTTTTCATTTGTTCAATCTATGAACTGAAACTACCATTTTCTCCGGTTTTAGCAAGACCAACTTTATTTATCAGTATTTTTGCCATAAATT